TGAATGTAAGTTCTTAATTTTAATGAAGTATAATTTATCATTTGTTTTGTCTGTTACTAGTACATTTTGTATCCACTTTAAAAGATATTTTCCTACTACAAAATCATAAAGATGTTTTCCTATGCTTTCTTCTAGAAATTTTATTTAGGTTTTACCTTTCACTGTCCTTCACTGTCCTGTTTTACCCTTCCTTATCCTTTACTTTCACTGTCCTTTGATATATGTTGTTGTTGTTATGTGCTGTCGAGTAGGACCTGACTCATAGTGACCCCTCCTTGGGTTTCTGAGGCAGTATCATTACAGAAGTAGATCGCCTAACCTTCCTTCTGAGGAGTGGCTGGTGGGTTTGAACTGCCAGCATTCTGGTTAACAGTCAAGTGCCTTAGGCACTATGCTACCAGAGTTCCTACACTTGAAACTGATGTTGTTATGGTGTGAGCCAGTAATCATGATTTATTTTCTTTCTCCTATAGTGATATCCAATTGACGTAGTACAGTATGTTGAAAAAAAAAAAAATCCCCTTCCACTACTACTTTTTTTTTTTTTTTTTCACTAATAATACTCTCATGGTATATTTTCTCCATCCTTTTACTTGCAATTAATTTGTATCCTTATATTTAGTATATATCTGTGTCTCTTGTAAGTTACATATATTTGGGTTTTGACATTTTATTTCAGTCTAACATTTGATTTTTTAATTATAGGATTTACCTAGTTATGTTTCTTGGAAGGAAGGTTGGGCAATCTACTTCTGTAGTGACACTGCCTCGGAAATCCAAAGAGGGGTTGCTATGAGTCGGGTCTGACTTGATGGCACATAACAACAACAACAACAAGTTATGTTTAATGTAATTACTGATATGTTAGGATATATGTCTTCCTATCTCACTATTTAACCCATCTCTATACCATATTCATTCTTGTCTCTTTTGTTACTTTCAGTAAAGCAATACTTAATGAAGTATTTATAATTTTTAAAATTTCTTATCTCTCCATATTATGCTTTCAGTTATACATATTTTTAACTTCCAGGTTAAAAGTCATAGAAGGTTCAGTATGAATCCTTTGTAAATGACTGCTTTTGCCATTTCTTGGACAATGCAAAGCTGAGAATATTATAATTAATGCATTTTAACTCTATACTTCTTTTAGACTTCAAAAGAAATTATTAGTGTTGTTTTCTACAATCAATATTATTTATATTTACCCAGATATTTACTCTTTCCATTGCTCTTCATTCCTTTATGAATGGCCTTGTATCTATCTGGAATCATGTCCTTTATTATGGATCACTGCCATGGATTTTCTCAAGTCTTATTTACCTGAAAGTGGCTTTATTTTATTTTTACTTTTGAAGAAAAGTCAGTATGATTATGTAATTCTAAATTGGCAGTTATTTCCATTCAACATTTTTAAAATATAATTTTATTCCACAATTTCCATCACCATTATTGTTGCTCTTTTTGAAATTAATGTGTTTTTTTTTTTCCCTCTGGATGCTTTAAACATTTTGTTCATCTTTGATATTCATCGGTTTTATTATGATGTGATTTCATGGGTTTTGTCTTTGATATTTCCTTATAGAAGATTGTGTTGTGGTTGTTGTTAGATGCTGTCTAGTCATTTCCGACTTATAGCGACCCCATGCACAGCAGAACGAAACACTGCCTGATCCCATGCCAGCTCCACGATCCCTGCTATACTTGAGCCCATCATCACAGCCACCATGTCAATCCATCTCGTTGAAGGCCTCCCCCTCTTTCATCAACCCTCCACCTTGCCAAGCATGACATCCTTCTCCAGGGAATGGTCCCTTCTGACATGACCAAAATAGGTGAGACAAAGTCTGGCCATTCTCACTTCCAAGGAGCATTTGGG